TTTTCAACTCTGTGGCCCCAGTGTTTTTTGTTTGTGCATAATTCTTTTTTTAAAAAACATTTATTTTTCAGTCATAGGTGGACACAATACATTTATTTTAGTTTTATGTGGTGCTGAGGATCAAACCCAGTGCCTCACACATGCTAGGCAAGCGCTCCACCTCTGAGCCACAATCCCAGCCACTTGTTTGTGCATAATTCTAACCACACGCCTAATTAAAATTCAACAAAATGAAGCTGAAAATAGTGGCACACCACTCTAATCCCAGCTACTTGGAGGCAGGAGGATACCAGTTCAAGGCCAGCCTCAGCAACTTAGTGAGACCTTCTCTCAAAATAAACAAGACCTAGAGGTCTAATTCTTGTTCTTTATGAATCATTTGAGAGTAAAGGATGACCCTGTCCCAAAAAATAAAGAGGGGTAGGGATTCAGCTCAGTGGTAGAGCACCCCAGAATTCAGTCCCCAGGATGGTGGGGCAAGAAATTCAATGAAATGAAACCAATAAAGATTAGCATAAAAGTTAAGAAGCTTAGGAGCTGGAGTAGCTAGAGTGCTAGAGCTCAGTGCTAGAGTGCTCACCTGGCATGTGTGAGGCCCAGGCTTCAATCCTCAACAATGCATATAAATAAATAAAAGATCCACTGACGACTAAAAACTATTTTAAAAAAAAGTTAAGAAGCTTAAACTTAACTCCATTTTAAGTCATAAATCTATTTAAGATTTTCCTTCATCCCACATCACCTAACACCATGAAAGCATTCCTACCTTCACACCATTGCTTAGAATCTTTTCCATGTCCAGCTCACATTCTCTGGGGAGTTCTTTCTGATCCCAGGAAGAGGCAGAGCACTCTCTTTTATGCTTCCCAAACTCTGTATACATACAACCATAGGGTGGCCAAAAATTTATCTTCTAAACTGGATGCTACATCTATCACTGCGCTTAAGGTAGGTATTATAATTATTTAGTTCCTCTGCTTTATTGTAGGGTTTAGAACACTGTCTTAGTCATTACTGTAACCTCTAAGCCTCCARTTGCCTGACATTTAGTTGATATTTGATGGTTTTTGGATGAATAATTGTTGAAGTAGGTTAAGTTTTATTTTGCTTACCAACTTTTTGCTTTGTCACATGGCTGACAATTTACAGATCATTTTTCATGCATTATACAACTAATTCTCACAACTACCTAAAATAGGGTTTTTATAAAAAATATTTTTTAGTTGTGGATGGACACATACCTCTATTTTACTTATTTATTTTTAAATAAATAATTAATTAATTTTTTGATAGTTGGACAGCATGCCTTTGTTTCTTTTTATGTTGTGGTGCTGAGGATTGAACCTAGTATCCCATACATGCTAGGCAAGAACTCTACCACTGAGCTACAGCCCCTACTTATTTATTTTTATGTGGTGCTGAGGATCAAACCCAGTGCCTCACACATGCCAGGCAAACGCTCTACCACTGAGTTACAACCCCAGCCCCCAAGATAGGTACTTTTATTACCCTCATTTTGTGAATGAAGAAACAAGTCCTGTGGTTGATTTACCCCAAACTGCTTGTCTTGTAAGTAAAAGTTCTAAGTTACAGTTTCTGTAAGCCAACCAACACTTTCTGGACATAACTATCAACCACACTGCTCTTTTGGAACATTCTAAGCTTCCCAGAATCTCCCTTTTTTTACAAATCTAAAAGTTCGCATCATTCTCATACTGCTCCATCTTACAGGCAGGCAGAATGCCCTGTCTTTTCCCTAACCAGATTCTTGCTCCCCACTATAGAATGTCCTCCCCAAACACTAGAATTTTAAAGTGGGGATAGACCTTCTTCAGTTATTTCTAAAAAAGAAAAAAAAATACATCTATCTTACATACACAACAGAAAATTTCGGCAACTATTTCTTTAATTTTCACATTTTATTTTAAAACAGTTATAAATTCAAAGACAAAGTAGTGTTTAAAAAACAAAACATGTTCCCAATACCCTCAAATAACTGATATGAACTATCTTGGGTCTTTGTTTTTAGAACAACTTCTTCATAGGTTATTCTTCAATACACCAGGCTAAGGAGTGATTCTGTACTTTGACTAATATCTCTTACAGTTAATGTACAACTATATATGCCAAAATGTAAGTTCATTACAAGTCTCTACCTTTAATATATGCCAAGATGCCAATTATTAGTAGCACTCAGGTTTGAGTCCCATCCACCCTTCCCCAATCGGTCCTTCTCATGCCATACCTGAAAACAGACTACTAACTTCTCCCTCTTTCTTCTCATTTCCTTTCCGTAATATTCAAAGTTCAATCTCTGGATACTGATCAGAAGGAACCTCCATCATCCACATCAGCACAGGGATACATTGGGAGTGGTCTTTATCCCAATTACACCCACTCATACCCAACTATAAATAAGGAAACTTTCTACATGTGAGGGGTTTGTCTTGTTTTAATGCATTTGGCTTGGATAAAACAATCCATCAGAGACTAGATAAAATTAAAAAAAAAAAAAGAGTGAGAACCCACCCACCAAGGTACACTTCAGGAGAACAAATCGAAGACAGCAACTCTGATAAGTCTAAACTCTCATGTTTGCTACTTGATCATAGAATTTAAAATCAGCTCAATTCAAAACACTCCCTTTTTCCCTACCTGGCAATTCTCACCAACTCAAGCAGTGAACAGAGAACATGAGCCCATGAGTCATGACAGGCCATCCCTAGGCAGGGTAAGGCACATGCAGCAGCACAGCTGTGATCAAATGTTGCCTTCTTTCCTTTTTAAAACAAGGAATTGACTGTTCCTGGTGATTATCTCTGAGGAGTGGGAGTCAGAATGACTTTCATTTTTGTATTTTATGTATTTCAGCATAGATCGAATGTTTACAAAGAGTATGTATTTTATAATTTTAAAAAAGTATTTCCATTTTGAGGAAAAAAATAGACATAACACTTGACTTAGTTCACATTAGAATATAAGAAAAATTACAAAGCAATCTATCATAAAAGGTAYTGGCACAAGAAGAAAATATCAAGAGAAAACATAAAGTAAAAAGCTAAGGAAAAATTTCTGAATTTCTGTCCCAAATGGTTTCTTCCTCTTTGGGCCAGAAGGTCGACAGTGAAGACTTAATGTCTTTCCTGGCCAGAGAAGGACAGGCCTGAAAGCAGGCACTTCTCTTCTCCTGCACATTTAAAGTGAGAAATGGTGCTGCAAAGAACATGGAGACACTTTGAAAAAGGTCCACTATCTTCCCCATAGCCTGGCAAAAGAGGAGAATGAGGAAGCAGTACAAAAATAAGCAGTGTTAAAGTAAAATCAAAACACAAGGTCAATAGCAAATGGCTGTGACTGTGCTCATGCCCTGCTAAGGTCCTGGTTAAAACATGGTTTCTCTTCTCTGACAATGATGCACTAGCCTCCTCACCCCCTCAAAAAAAAAAAAAAAAAAAAACAAAAAAAAAAACACCTAAAGAGTACGCCATCATGTTAGAGGTGGAAAGAAATAGACTGCGTGGCCTGAGTTACTGAATAGCAGGAAAATTTGGTCTTAATGAAGAAATCCTGCTATAAAAATCAGTGTGTTAACTGAAGGCTTCCTGTAGATTTTCTGTTTATTAACCTTTGGAGAAAAGCATTTCACCTCCACTATGCTTCAGTTTCTTCTGTGTAAGAGGAGGACGCCCCATCTGGCTCTCAAAGCCATTCAGTTTTACTGAGACTTAGATACTTAGCAAGTGATTCAAAATAAAAGATTTAATTCTGAGCAAATGATGGCTTGCCATCAGTCAGGCTTCATCTTCCTATATCTACAAATCTCCCGTTTCTCCAGATCATGTCCAATTTTACCAATAAGATTCCACAGAATCTAATTTCTTCGTTTCAAAGCAAATCATGAGTGCTTTGAAGTTGTCATATTGCAACCTTCAACAAATTTGCCTTAGAGTGCCCCTACCTTCACTCAAGAAATTGATTCTAAGTTGCCTCAAAAAGCCTCGGACCGCTCCTTTGGGTTCGAGTATCAATGGGAAAATTGTTCCCGTTCTAATACGGTATGAAAATACACTTTGGCCAACGCAGAATCTGCATGTACCTGAAACTGCATGTACGCTGAAACTCGACTTAGGAACATTATCACGACATACAAATGCCTTAAAGCACTGAAAACAACGACTTTTATCAACCTCTTCCAGACGCGCCCAACTAGGAAAACGTCTTGTCAACCGTTCAGATCATGTGGACGCGTTGCTTAGGTGGAAAGGGAGACAGAGCGGAGCGCAGCTCAGTCAGACCCATGCCTACACACTCCAGTGGCAACAACTCCGGATCTACAGCCAACAACACATTCACCGAAACTAACCGAACTTCTAGTAAGCGGCCACCACTGGAGGCAAAAGCACTTTCTTCCCAAGAAACAGATCTTTCCCACTGAAAATCCCCGATACCCAGACCTACCACTTTTTACTGAACAAAAAAGCGTGTGTGCTGGAAAGAGCGGGTGGGAAGGCGCGTAGGAGAATTTGCAAAGCTCTTATGCCTCCTCCCTCGGAGCGCGCCCAAGTCTGCGGCCTCGGGCTCCGGGACACTTCCCCTCCCACCCGCCGAGGAGCCGCAGCTGTAAGTTGAGAGAAGCGGGCCCTGGGCCCGTCAATCAACCGGGTCCTCCCGCCTCCCGTCTACACCTCCCCTCCCCCCTTAAAAAAATAAAATAAAGGCAGAGAAAGAAAGGGAAAAGATGATAACTATTTGGTAACTACTCTCCACCCGGGCTTCGCCTCCCACCCAGGGAGGCCGCATGCTCGGGACCTGGAGCGCCGACATAGAGCAGGCGGCCCAGCAGCCGCCGGTCTCCAGTTCCTCCCAGCGCCTCCGCCTTGCTCCGGCTTCCCGCACGGGTCGGCGCCCCTCTGGCCCCGCACTCCGCCAGGCCCGCGGCCCGCCACCCTCAGGCCCGGGCCAAAGTTGCGCAAATAGCCCCACAACTGGCAAATACTCACCCGCCGCAGCAGGAACCCGGGCTGCGGAGATTTTAGGGAGTTTAAGGCAAATCAGCCGCGGGAAAGGCGGGCGGAGGCGAAGGGGCCGCGAGCTGCAGTGGCGGCGGCGCGCTGAGCTCGGGCTGGGCTGCGCGGAGAGACTSTGGCTCWGCCAGGGACTGTGCTGCAACAAAGSACTTCCGCTGCCGCACAGCCGCGCCTGCCGCACCGCACTGAGCCGGCCCCGCTTACGCGGCGACTCCGGGTCTGCCCACCAGTTCGCTGCGGCGTCCGCCAGCCTTCCCCTCCCTCTCGCCCGCCCACCCACTCCGCCGCTGGCTGCTAGGGGCACCSGCGGTCGCCKGTTTGTTGCAAMAAGTTTCTGCGTCGGGCTCCGAGGAGACTAGCACAACCCGCACCGCGGGGGCCGTCGTGGCGGCGGCTTGACCACCCCTCTCGCCCCTCTCCCAAGGGTAGGCTTGGGACCTCCTTCTGTTTGCACAGYTGGATGGGACTGGGTTCCTCCCGACTCCCCAAGGGCAGGATGATGCTTTAACCACTCGTCCCAGATGTTAGACCCCCGCCCAGCAGGGCCCAGCTGCGGGGCCCTCTCCCTCGCGGTATGCCCGGGGCGTTATGGGGGCGCCAGTACCCTCACCCCATCCTGTCCGCGGCTCATCCGCTCTGGGACGCCCATTCCTCGCGTTCCCCCCACCCTGCCTTCATTGGGCCTGTCCGCCTCTGGCCTTGAGTCACTTCCCTCGCCATGCTCCACCCCGTCCAGACCGCCTCGCCTCCCAGGCTCCCGCGGCTCGGCCTGGCTGGCCCCGCGCCCTCACCCGCCGAACACGCGGGCACATCTTCCCCGCCCCCACCCCAACCTCAGAACTGCGGGGGTGCCCGTGCTTTTGCACACCCTGGGGAAAGTCCCCAGGTCACGCGGTTGTATGTGGGGAGCCTGTGACGCTCAGGCTTAGCCCCACGCTTCCGCTAACAGAGTCAGGACTGGGGACCGTGGCGGCACCCAGAGCGCGGGCCGACCCCCGTCTGGCCACTTAGGCGGGCGGGCGCACACGTACGCACGCAAGCACGCACACCCGGCCCCGTCGTCGCTGGTTCCCCAGAAACTAGGCGCACGATCACGTGGGCCCATCGCGCGGCGGCCGACGCGGGAAGCCGCGCGAGAGCCCGGCACCGGGTGCGTGAGTCGGCGCTGCCGCGTGCAGTGCGCGGCGCGGAGCCCGCCCCTCCCGCATAGAGAAGCCAGCCCGCCGCCGCGGCGGCGTCTGGGTAAGCGTCGCGGCCCAGCCCCTGTAGGCTGCTCTGGGTTCAGTCCCTCCCGCCGCTAGCCACTGGGGCTGTGGCTGCAGCTGCATGGGCCGAGAGACAGATGCAAGTAGCTGGGGAGAGGGGTGTTTTTGATCTATTTGAGATGKCATTCAGGGCGCAGGAGGAAAATGGCAACCTTGAATGAGCGCTGGGTGGATGACCAGAGCTGCCCTTTGGTGCCACGGCTGGGGCCTGACGCAGTCGGGTGTGGTGCGCGGTTCCGCCGCGCAGGCCTGGAACCCTCCTTGCTGAGGGCCTGGGTGCGACCCCGCGCCAGAAGCCCCGATACTCATGACGCGTCTCCCCCTCCCGCCCCCCCCTCCCGCAACTGGGCCCACCCATCTTACAAGCGGGAAGGTCTGCAGGTGCAGCTGCGCGGACGCAGCGGCCAATATCTCCTCCCCATCCCAGTTTGTGAGTACCCAGTTTCAAGGACAAGAAAGCTAGGTCCCTAATCCCAATAATTTTTCTCTCTCTCTCTTTAAAATGTTTACGTCATTCTAAGCAAATTCAGTTTTTCTCTTTGAAGTTGGCCCCATCTTATCAGCGCCTCCCTAGCACTTACTTGGAGAAATCAAGTGCTAATAAATTCCTTGGGCAGCGAGCAGCGCTGTACCTAGAACCTGGCAGTAGCTAACGTGTTTTATAAGTTAACTTTTGTATTTCCCTGCAAGAGGTTAAATTTGGTATTCTTCTCTTTAGACTCAAGTCCTTTTGGCAGAACTGTTGATTCACTCAGGATTCTGTCAAGTATGTGAAGGACATTTCATAATCTCAAACGTTTGAGCTGAGAGAAGCCTTACATAAAACTCAGTTCGGGGCTTCAGTAGTAGAGCACCTGTCTACCATGCACGAGGCTCTGGGTTCCATCCCCAGTAGAGCAAAATAAGAAAACAAAAACCAGATATTTACAAGGACACCAAGCCTAAAGGGCATGGTGTTTCTCGATCTGCTTGATCTAGGGCCTCCATCTCTCAGCTGGAGTTCATAGTTGCAGACATCTCGGACATTGCATCCTCCACCATGCCAGGGCTGCTGTGCCAGTTTAACCCGCTCTGTATGTATCAACCAAAGGAGATTACACTTGGCTTGTAGGATTTCTCAGGTTTATTGAGAAATCAGTCTTGGCCAGTATGTGATGGCTCTGCAGTAGGGAGATAGCACTGTTTCTAGGCGGGTTAGGCAGCAGGTGATGTGCTTTGGGGCCAAAAGCCCATTCTCCCTCCCAATACCTCCCACCAAAACCAAACAACAACAAAACCCTTTAGCTCTCTTCTCTGCAAGAACTACAACCTTGTGGCATGGGTTGGTTTTTAGGTTTGGGCATCAAAGCCTCTAGGAGTCTGAATGTGTTAGTTAAGGATAAACTATGAATCCATTATGGGACAGAATACTAATGACATGAAATAAGTTAGTTCTGATGACTGGGATGAAACCAAGAGGCAACAAAACATCAAGGGATGGTTAACAAGAAAGTTGGAAGGGACCCCACCTTACCTGCTGTATCTTTTTGTTCAGTCCTATCCTGAATGTCTTTTTTTGGATATAGCTGAGATGGATCCTGCTCAAGTTAGGTTTATTGAGTACATTTAGTGGGTCAGGTCCCATACCAGCTGCTTTCTCATAGATGAATTCTGAATTCTTCCCAAGAAGAAGAAAACACTGTCTCCATGTTATAAATGTGTTAAAACTCTGAGGAAATGGGCCCAGAGAGATTTACCTGACTATGATGATAAAATCATTTACGGAGGAATTTCAACCTAGATCCCTTATCTTCCAAGTCTAGTCTGTACTCTTTTGCATTATATGTTGCTCCCAATTCAAGCCAGGAAGGGGATGAGAGAATCGCCTGTGGCTGATTTATTGGCGCCTGTGGTTGCCCATAGAGGCCAAGCAGGACTTTCAGCTGCCCTCTATGCCTCAGAAAGTGGAGCTATGTGCTTCCACCCTATCTCCTGAGGGGAATGCAAAGGAGCCAGGCTGTCTAGCTGGGGAGGAGGGGCCCAAGTGTCTTGGTCGTAAAATAATCCTGGTCAGGGCTATGCTGGGAAATATTGCATAATGCCCTCCCTACCACTGAACCAAAGTGATTTATTTACTATGGTCCGTAGGTGGTGCTTGACCAACTTGTCCATCTTAGTAATAACAGACCAGAAAAGAGTTGGGGTCTTAAATGACTGCAGATTCCCCCCGCCCATCATATTTTAAAAAAGCAGTGCAGGTGCTCTTATCTAGATAAATTATAAAGTACTTCTATACTACTTCTGTGCTCCCTTTCTGTTTTATTCACAGAGCATGTGAATATCAGTCCTTTGAGAGGAGAGATCTAACAAAACTACTGCTCCAGTTTATAGTGACCAGTATAAGCTATGGAGTGAGACCTGCTAGTTGTTTTGTTTGTTTGTTTGTTTTGTTTTGTTTTTTAACTGTTTTTTTTTTATTTATGTGGTGGTGCTGAGGATGGAACCCGGTGCTTCACACATGCTAAGCAAGCGCTTTACCACTGAACATCAACCCCAGCCCAAGACCTGCCTTTTTTGATCTCCATGTTATACTACTTGCTAGTTATGTATCCTAAGTTTAAATTTTTTCCTCATCTCTAAAATGGAAATGAAAATAATAAACATTAGTCACAGGGTTAAGAGAGAGACTGGGGAGCACTAACATACAGCCTTACGTATAGTACTATAGTAATAGTAGCTGTGGGAAGTAATCTGGATAGTATTTATTCTTCCTAGAAAAGGAAGGATGTTGCTTCTTAAACCTGCTTAGGGGGGCTGGGGATGTGGCTCAAGCGGTAGCGCGCTCGCCTGGCATGCTTGAGGCCCAGGTTCGATCCTCAGCACCACATACAAACAAAGATGTTGTGTCTGCTGAAAAACTAAAAAATAAATAAAATTCTCTCTCTCTCTCTCTCTTAAAAAAAGAAAAAAAAAACCTGCTTAGGGAGAGTGGAGGAAGAAGTGGTGTTAGAAGCAAGCAGTTTCAGGATTATTAATTGATTTTACTTACATTCTGCTTTCCTTTTTTATTAGGCATTTCATTTTTTTTCTTTATTTGGAGGAAAAGTGTTTATAGTGTTAAGTCAATTATTTTTGAAATTTTTCTAATTCAGTTTTTCCCTAGTTACAAATTAATTATACATGGATGTTTTATTTCTTCTGGAAAACTCTAGGCAATAGTAGCAAAGAATTTCATGGTTATGTGGATTATATGTTCATGGAACTGTAATTCCTTGGCAAAGAAAGTTTTGTTTCACTTATATTCAGAAGTTATAATCACTCTTGTCTGTACTGTATTCCAGGTCTATACTAGCATTGTCCTTTTCAACTTTCTCTGATTCTTTGAGGAACTTTTTTTTTTCCCTGTCAGAAATTCAGTTTTGGGGCTGGGGTTGTGGCTCAGCAGTAGAGCACTCACCTAGCACATGAGAGGCCCTGGGTTCGATCCTCAGCACCACATAATAATAAATAAATAAAATAAAGGTGTTGTGTCCAACTATAACTAAAAAATAAAATATTTAAAAAAAAAAAAGAAATTCAGTTTTTATGTTTTTTTTTCCTTTTCTTTTTAATGGACTAAAAAGAATCTTTTTCTTCTCAGGGTTCTGATTTTTTTTTTTTTAAAGGTCCATTAGCAGTTTGTACTCACTGCTGTTAGCATTGTTGTTGGCCTAATGCTGTGGCTTATCAGGCATCCCACAATGTTGTTTAGATGGGGGTTAGAGGTGGAGAAGCCTGGCTGTGTCTTGCCAACTGGCAGGAGGCCCCAAACTGACATTTGCCCATTCTGTTAAAGGTTTCTAGAGAATAACTGCTGTTTCTTTATCATCAACAATGTCTATTTCTCCTCTTTAACATTCTCTGTGGATTTCATAAGCCAATATCAAGAATTTATGCAGAATTTCGTCAAACATTTTCAGATTTGAAATTTCTGTATCATTTTTAGATATTATGAAAGTAAATATAATGGAATATGAGAAATTTCTAGTGTTTTTTTTTTTTTCCCCTTCTTGATACGGGAAAGCTACATCCCCAGCCCTTTTTGTTTTTT